CTTCTCCTTGTCCCTTCCTCCTTCCGCCCCTCGCCCCCTCTCCCCAGAAAGACCGCCCTGGTCCCGCCTATGTCTTTCATGGAATTGTGTCCAGTTTGCCCTCATTTTCTCTCATCTTTCCCTCCTCTGTTTTCTGCCCTTCTCGTCCTCTCTCCCATCGACACATTGCCTTCAGCGGCGGCCGGTTTCCTGACGGAAGCAGGCATCATCACATTGGCTTTGTCGGCGATGGATGACTGTTTCATTGGCAAAATGCTCGCCCTCGGTTGATTCCCGAGAGCCTCGGTTTGTGAGGGATTTTGAGGTATTGGTAAATTTTTCTTTTTTAAAATCTTACCATTGATTTGGGGTGTTTTTTAACGCCAGTATTATGATGGTGGTCCCAGATGGCATATCCAAATCAATATGGGAGCACTTCGTGTTTCATCCCTTAGCTGTAAACATTGACTCACCAAAATGTTTTGTCTGGTGCATTGGGGAACAGCCTGTGTTTCATCCCTTAGCTGTAAACACTGTCCCACCTAGGGATTTTATCTGGCATATCCGAAAAAAGCCTGTGTTTCATCCCTTAGCTGTAAACACTGACTCACCAAGATGTTTTATCTGGCATGTTGGGGAACAGCCTGTGTTTTATCCCTTAACTGTAAACACTAACTCATTTAAGTGCTTTATTTAGCACATCCGGAAAGAGCCTATTTTTTCATCCCTTAGCTGCAAACATTGACTAACCTAGATATTTTGTGTGTCATATCGGAAAATAGCCTGTTTTTCATCCCTTAGCTGTAAACACTGACTCACCAATATGTTTTATCTGGCACATTGAGAAACAGCCTGTGTTTTATCCCTTAGCTGTAAACACTGATTCACCTAGATGTTTTTTATGAAGCACATTGGGTAATAGCCCGTATTTCATCCCTTAGCTGTAAACACTGCTCCACCTAGGTATTTTTTCTGGCATATCCGAAAACAGCCTGTGTTTCATCCCTTAGCTGTAAACACTGACCCACCTAAACATTGTGTCTGGTATATCCGAAAACAGCCTATGTTTCATCTCTTAGCTGTAAACGCTGACTCACTTAGATGTTTTATGAGGCACACTGGGGAACAGCCTATGTCTCATCCCTTAGCTGTAAACATCATCAATAATAATGGGTCGCATCAAAAAAAAATTTCAGGTACGCACACAAGTCGACAGTGGCAGCATCTGCGTGATCAGTACAGACGCGCCAAACGGCGTATGGAATTATCGAATGTCAACGGACAGATAAAGCCGTGGCGTTTTATGCAGATGTTGAAATTTACCGATGCAACAGACATCGCTGAAGCAAATGATCCAATGTAAGAATTGTGTGCGATTTTTCACCTGGCTACGTACCAAGTACCACACTGGATTTTTGGTTTGGCTTTAATCATGGGTGGATCCAGAGGAGAGGGGGGAGAGGCCCTCTTACCGCTGGATCTACCTATGATCCTAGCCAAATCTAGGCATCAGTGCTGCAAAAGCCCGGGTCTAAAGCTAAAACTAAAGTAAACTAAAGCCTAAAGTAACTCTAATTAGCATTGTTACAGTTCTATTCCTAGTTTTTGCATAGTTCCAGGGTGGAAGAGGACTGTCCCCCCCATCTCCCGTCCTCCTTTCCCCCTCCCCCTCCCCTTGCCCTGTTCCCAGGAGCCTCACTCGCTCCCAGCCCCTCTTTCCTCCAGGAGCCATCCTAGATCCGCCTATGATTGAATTTTTTTAGGCCTCATTTCAAATACACATTCTGTAAGGCAGAAAATCGTCCCCCCCCCCCCCCCCCCCCCCCCCCCCCCCCCCCCCCCCACCCCCCCCCCCGCCCCCCCCCCCCCCCCCCCC